CGGACATTACTGTCTTAACTGAGACATGTCTTCACCCAAATATTCTCGATGCAGAACTCTTTTCGGGCGTGAATATTTTCAGTATTTATCGGTGTGACCGTTCTGAATTAAAGGGGGTGGTGTTTTGATCGCGATAAAGAATTTACTGTCGTCGTTTCTAATTGATACTCACTCACCCCTCGAAATAGTTTGGGCTGCCTGCTTTTCCGCTTCATCAAAAATACTGATAGGCGCTTGCTACCGGCCACCCGACGCAGGTTCTTCCTTTAGCGATGAACTCGGAAAGAGTATAGCGGCCGCTGTGCAAAGCTATCAGTGTGAAAACGTTTACCTCCTCGGCGACTTTAACTTTCCCGATGTTGATTGGCCGTCTCTCTCTTCACCAAGTCGTGCTTCTGTAGAATTTATAAATTTAACTCTGGATTTTAACTTCTTCCAAACTGTTGACGCACCTACACGCGGATCTAATTTATTAGATTTAATTTTAAGTAATGCGCCTGAAACTATCGGGCCAATCACTTATCGGGACGGTCTAAGTGACCACAAGTTACTGCATTTTTCGATAAATGTGCCATTTAGCCACACAAGTAAAGATAGAAAGATTATACGAGATTATAACAAGGCCGATTACGCAGCGATTAACTCAGACCTTGAAGTATTCTTTGTTGAAGCGATGATGCCCTTGTTCGATACTCGCACCGTCAACGAAAACTGGTGTATCTTCCGGGACAAGGTTTGCGGGCTGGTCGATAAGTTTGTTCCCATAGTTACCATAACGAATGACAGGTTGAACCCGTGGTTCACTAAGTCACTCCATCGGCTCAGAACAAAAAGCGGTTGTACAAAAACGCCAAAAATGGGCAAACTGAAGCTGCATCGAAAAAGTACGACGAGTGTGCGGCGAGCTACTGCTCTGCAATTAAGGATGCGAAATACAAATATTTTTCCCATGATCTCCTGTCTCTTTTGAAATCGAACCCTCGGAAGTTTTGGCAGTCGTTAACCCCAGGAACCGACCGCCATCATATCTCGTTACATGGTGATGACGACAAATCCCTCTCAGATAGTGACTGTTCATTCGCATTTAACATGTTCTTTTCTTTAGTATACACAAGAGAAGACCATTCCAACATACCATTCATCGCAGATTACGACTGGGCGTTTATGCAGCGAATAGCTCTTACAGTCGAAGGTATTTCTTCCCTCATTGACCAACTTAAACTATCTACTTCATCAGGGCCCGACAACATTAACACTAAAATACTAAAGAACACAAAAATCGTATCGAGCAAATTCTTACTTCTCATCTTTCAACAGTCCTTGATGTCTGGTCAACTTCCAGATGATTGGCACATGGGTAAAGTGGTTCCCGTTTATAAAAGTGGAGGTAAACACTCACCTGATAATTATAGACCCATCTCGCTTACGTCAATCTGCTGCAAATTGCTGGAGCAAATTATCGCTTCCCATGTTCGCCGCCACCTCGAATCAAATATTTTCTTTTTTCCTCACCAGCATGGTTTTCGGAAAGGCTTCTCGTGTGACACCCAATTGTTTGAATTAACAACCAATGTTCATTTCAATATGAATGAAAATAAACAAACTGATTGCGTATTCATCGATTTTTCAAAGGCCTTTGACCGCGTTGCCCATTGCCGCCTAATATCTAAGTTATCTGCACTTAGACTCGATTTCTTAACCCTTTCGTGGATCCGCAATTTTTTTTCCTTTCGAAAACAATTCACTACGGTTAATAACTACGCCTATACCCCCTCTGATGTCACCTAGGGTGTTCCACAGGGTAGTGTTCTCGGACCTCTATTATTTCTCATCTACATAAATGATTTGCCAAATAATATATCTTCCAATATAAGACCATTCGCTGACGATTGCATAATATATCGAGCTATTAACAATGACGGCGACCACCTTACCCTTCAAACAGACCTTAACCTAATTAGTGGCTGGTGTGACGTGGGGCAGATGTCTCTTAACTCTTAAAGTGCCGTGCTATGGCCTTCAGTCGTAAACACAAAAACTCCAATTACTCCTACTCTATTAAAAATGATACCATAGTGCAGTGCTCTTCTTAAAAATACTTAGGTGTCAACCTAACACCCAATCTTTCATGGTCGGCACACATTAGTGTTATTTGCGCGAAAGCCTCAAAAACATTAGGTTATCTCCGTCGTAATCTGCCAAAGTCTCCAACAAGCATCCGTAAACTGGCCTATTTCACTTATGTACGCCCCCAGCTGGAATTTGCATCTTCAGTCTGGTCCCCTTTCCAAGATTACCTAACCACATTGCTAGAGTCCATACAAACCGGAGCAGTCCGGTTTATATCTCGCAATTATAGCACTCATTGCAGCGTAAGAACATTAAAACAAGAACATTCTATTTCGCCTTTGCACGTTCGTCGCTCTGTTGCACTGTTATGTTTGCTGCATGAATATATTCACAGCACAAGACGTTCTACGCTACCCCTTACAGCACCATTGCGCATGTCCAGACGCCTGCACAATCACCTTAGTTTCACTCGCATTTACGGCAAAACGAAGGCATTCAACTTATCAGCGCTTCCGAAGGCCATATCATTATAGAACGACCTTCCCGACTGCATCGCCTCCATCACCGATCCAGATTCTTTTCGCGAACATGTGTGTAATCAATTTTCATCGCACTAATTGCTCTAACTTCACTGATGTTTGTAGCTGCAGCTGTGCCACTCACCTAGTTTCACACTTCTCTTTGGTTCTCTTTAGTTATTGCTGTGCCCACCGTTGTCTTGCAATTTATATTGGTAAACGCCTTCGTACGGCTAGCTGTATGTGTGTTAGAGAATGCGTGTGTATGTTGTGCACCTCGGCCATGTACCTTGAATTCATGTACCTTGAATTTATTGTTATTCAAGCTTTCTGCATATCGGTAAACATTCGCGTATTACATTTGTTTGAGTGTCAGTGACTAGACATGCTTTGTCACGATGTTGTGTTATTTTCTGTGTATTCCTTGTTATTGATGACCGCCCTATTACTCTTTGAAGTTTGTACCCCCATTACCCAATGCTCTCATTGAGCTTGTAAGGTATTATAAAATAAATAAATAAATGAATAAATAAATAAAAATCAGCGTGATCTTATAAAAATGGCTTACTAAAGTTCGGAAGCTTCTCGAAGACTGCAGGCGCGGTTTGCGCTGAGAATCACGTAGTGTATTGGGTGATAACAAACAATAATAAAAGCAACGTGGCGATAGATAGATAGATAGATAGATAGATAGATAGATAGATAGATAGATAGATAGATAGATAGATAGATAGATAGATAGATAGATAGATAGATAGATAGATAGATAGATAGATAGATAGATAGATAGATAGATAGATAGATAGATAGATAGATAGACAGATAGATACGCTCAAAGTTGGCGAAGTTCACTAAGAAATGCGTGGCATTTAAAAAAGTTTTCCAGTAGGAAATGGCACACTGTTGTGCAGTTGAAGATGGTATACACATGCACCGCAGCGCCTGCGTATTCACAAAAGCACACATCTTGCAGTGATGAACAAAAATAATCGCCAAAAAGTTATCAACACACGCATCAAACTTATTTCATTCACAAATTGTAAGAGGAAAGAAAGAATCAACAAAGACACCAATACGACAGCTTCTTTCACGGATTTTTTAACCTATTTGACACGTAATGTGGGCTCATGGTAATGCAGATTTCATCACAAAATTTGAAGCAAAAAACTTTGCCCGCAAGGATTTTTTCTTTGGTCAAGAAGTTCCCACCCTAAGGGACCTTTAGTGCAGGTGACACTGGAATGAAAATGGTAGTTACACATGCACCATCCGAAGGCCATAGCTAGCACATCATTAATGGAAAAGAGTGAGGAAGAGAAGTGAGCGGAGGAGGACAGATGTGAGGGTGAGGAGAAGAAACTTTGTGGAGAGAGTCAAGAGGGCATAAAAAAACAGGAAAAGAGACGACTAAAGGAAGCAGGAAAAGTATGGAGAAAAAATAGTCAGTGAAAGAAGATACAGGGAGCGGGAGAAAGAAATATAAAAATTAAACGAGAATCACAAAGCAAGAAAAAAAAAGAAAGACCGCGAAAGAGAAAGAAATGCAGACAAGCAGAAATAGCGAGAGGAAAGATGTCACAAGCTCCGCTGCGACCTCAGTCTTCGCTCCAACAGTGTGTAGCACTTCGTTCTGAATGTATTTGTGTGTTTGCACGCATTAGAGGTTTTGTTGGCGTGTGTAAAATTTATTACAATTGTGTAATTGTTCATGGGAAGACATGTGTATGATTCAAAAATATGCATTTCTTTCTTATAATTAACATTTTAAATTTAACACTGTTTATCAATATTTTTTAACAATCGTGGCAAAAGACAATGTCATAGTTACAATGAATCATAGTTTTCATACATTGACAATGGTCAACACAAAAATAATGCAAATCATAATAGGAAGTGGAAAATATGAAAGGTTATGAATTGAAAGCTGCTATATGGCAGATGCACGAGAACTGTTTGCACCACAACTTATGTAAACTGGGCAGGGCAAACCGAGCAGTGGCTCAATAGCAGGTCTCGTGAAAATGCGTCAAAATGGCACCAGCGATTTCCTGGTGATTGACTGATGGGGTATTGACAGTCCACCTACAATTAATATCTGCCCGATTGCGCTTCGTGACAGCACCCAGCTGATTGGCGAAAATTCTTTGGCTGAGATAATTGCATATTTGGGCGATAACTGTGCTATTTCCATTTCACGGGTCTTCGCCGACAAATATGTGATCTTGGCGGTGACATCTCGTAGCAGTGATTACTATTCGTCCACATACTACACGATGATATATGAACAGCTGCAGACGCGGAAGGAATTTAGTTGAGTATGTGCCTGCTTTTCTACTGCGTGTGTATTTTTAATAGCGCAAACCTACGGAGCTACTAGTACGGTGTGATGATGACACAAGAAGGTGGGCTTGCCCTGGCATTCCGCCGCTCTCCATCTTGTTGGCGAGCACGACGTCCTTGCTATAGACGTCGTACTGCCACTGCCTCTGTCCAAGTACCCCGGCGAGCACTGCTCCGGTGTGTATGCCGACACGCATGTCGACGCCGCTGCGGGTCTGGTCACGAACGGAGCGGATGGCCTCCACCATGCTCAGACCCATGTGGACGCACAGCACAGCGTGATCAGGCCGCTCTTCTGGCGCGCCACTCACGCAGTAATAGCAGTCCCCAAGAATCTTGATGCGCAGTTGGTGGAATTTCTGCGAAAGAAAAGCAAGAACATTCACGCATACTATAAAACTTCACTTCCCACCATAGACGTGTAGCCCGTCTAATGAGTCAACTGAGCGCCAACTAAGTTTCACCCTTAAATCTCACCTGAATCTCAAATTCTAAAGGTTCAAGCTTACAGGTCGTACTGAACGTTCAAGGGCACGTAAATAAAATCGTTCTTGTGTAGCGTATGGTGTAGTTCTATAACCTGCGCTTAAGCGCCACTGCTATAAAATCTAAGAATCTGTGTATCATAGGTACCCAATGATCCTAAATGATTACACAGCTTCTTTTGCTTCACCGTCAATGATGCAATTGTTTGAGGTAAGCATGTAGGGTTTCCTTGGCATGAGTAGATTATCGTTTGGAAGATTCGTAAACTCTGTTGCGGCGCTTCATGACTTCCTGCTAGTTACGTCTATAGTGAGTTTTGTGAGATTACTTCCTCCTCCAGATGTAAGAACGAAGGCGCCAGAGAAGCGATGGTTGGATAAAAAGTCGTGCTTCGTGATACGGCGGCGCCGTTTCTTGTGCGGTGCGGGTGACAACCACTTGTTTCCAAAGGGTTTTTAGAAATGTTAGGTTACATATTCCGACTACTTTCCGTCACTTTCAATAGTATTACTTCAAACATTGTTTGTTTATTTTAACCCACTTCTGATCATTGCTAGTGTAATGTAGATGTGGTGGAGCTGGGAGCGTGTGAGGCTCAGAAGAAATAGGGGAAATAATAGGAAAATGAAGCAGAATGTGAACGCCAATAAAGACAGTCATTGTAACTGATGCTGCTCAAAGTGAGGAAAGGTCCAGAATTGGCATTTTTTCTCCTGTTCTAGATTGGTTTTTTTCCCTTCGCCTTCTAGATTTCGAAATAAAGTTGTTTACTGCTACTTCTTTATTCCGTGTCCATCTTTGTAGCAGAAGTTTCAGCGATCATTCTAGAGCTTCGAAAATTCACGGTGGGCACGGAACTAACGAATGACAAGTAAGGAGTGATTGTTTACCCTCTAAATTTGAGAAAGAAAGTGATAACGAAGAAAACGAAAGCGCTTCGCTCCCAGATCACGCAACTGATTAGCACAGCCAAGCAGCAATTAATGATGGAGCAAACAGGGAGCAGCTGCTTACAACGCCGGCGCAAATTTAAAGAATAAGCGACAGTCTTATTTGTTTGTGTTTCATGATGGAATAATTGGAAGCGCAAACCAATGGGACACAAGAGAAGAGACAAAGAAGCGCAGACTGAAACTCAGTTTATTCAGAGAAGTTATATACCAGAAAGATGAGAAAGGGAAACAATTAGGGAGAAAGTTTCACCTTGATCAGGTGTCGTCCAGAAACGATATTTCACAATTTAACAGTGATGTAGACGGTGAACTAACACAACTATCAATATTCTTTTTAATAAAAAAACGCTTCCGCAATCTCTCTAGTTTTCGTGTCATGATGGCTGTACAAGATAGATGTGCGCGAAAAATCAGGTACGCAGCCAAACTTTTTGCAATGGGCGGATAAATGTAAACCCGGGGCTGATTTCAGCGCGTTGTAGTGTTCTCGCAGGCGCATATACAAGCAGCGCCCAGTCTTCCCAATGTATAACCTGCCGCAAGACAGAGGGATACAATAAACAACATTAGATCGACATTTGGTGAAGGAATTGACATGCTTGACACCACAACCTTTCTTCACAAGACGTGCTTTCATTCTGCTTTGTAATTCAATTCTAGAACACATTTGCTGCAGTTTTCCACGTGCGGAAAACACAACGTCGAGATTGAATTTTTTTTGCACATTTTTTTTATATTATGCAAAAATTCGTGCACATATGGGACTACCGCAAACTTACGTCGTTTATCTGCCTCCTTTAAGGGGCATGCCTTCCCTTTCTTCATACGCAGTACCTTCTGAGCGGCAAAACTGGGGACATTGGACGGAAAGCCTGCCTCTCGCAACCTAGTTATTTGATTAGAAAAAAACACGCGCCATTTTGTGGAAACATGATTTTGTTACAGCTGAATTGAGAAGGTTAATTTCAATACCCGATTTTACTACTTTAGAATGCGAAGAAGAGTACTCCAAGAAGAGTAGTCCTCTTCTCTTGTGTCCCGTTGGTTTGCGCTTCCAATTATTCCATTATGAATTTGTACCAACTAGCCCGCCTGTCAACCCTACTGCAGTTCTTTCTGTTTATTTCTTACATCGAATACTGTTTTCTTGTTTGGCGAACAACCATTTCTACAAACATTTTGAAACTTAAAAGAATTCAAAACAAAATAATAAAGGTAATTACTAATACTGCTCCTGATCATTCTGCTGAACCGCAAGTTAAGAAGTAGGGTTTAATTAGTTTACACAACCTCTACAATTTTCAAATGTTTGACACGGCGGAATGAAATTAAGAAAAACACACATAGTCTACGCACCCTGGCTAAATTAAAAGTAAACGCGCGTAGCTTTAACACTAGGCATCCTGAATGCGCCTCTCAGCAGAACGAACTATGGAGAAAATAGGCTGGGTTGTCTCGTTCCTAGAATGGTAAATAAATTTTATGCACAGAACATCCATATAGGTACTTCACATTCGACCAACGTAAGCAATATTACATCTAACATAAATATACGCTTTATTATCTCTTCTTCTCAGTCGTTGTAACTTTGCTTTCTTTATTTTATTCAGAAATAAACAGAAAAGTTTCATAACTTGTTACTGTGATAGGATGTATGCAGCATCATGTATTATTTATTCACTGTATTGTTTTCTTTTTGTACTAGTTTTTATCAATGATAATAGTGTACAAACATGTTACTTTTTGACTTGTATATATTCTATCGATGTAATAATAGTGACTGTGGCCAAATGCTGACCGAAGTTCAAGATACACGGGATGAGAGCTTCGTCAAGCTGCCTAAAAGCAGTTTTTTCTCTCACTTCACATGATCTGTATTACTCATAAAATAAACATTGATTCTATTCCATTCTACTTGTATCAAGTGTGCGAACGAGCAAGTGGAAAAGTATCTGGCAGAAGACAATGCCGAAGCGGAATTCGAAAGGGTCATAGAGTACAAATTAATATAACGGCCACCTTGTCTGCAATAGAATTCAGATTTCAACAGCCTGATCAATCGGATTCAAACGATAGGACAAGGCAGGCGACGCCATCAAGAACAACACAAGAGGAAACAGAAATATTCAAGCTACCAAAGCTTGAAATGATAAAGTTTGGGGGAAAAGCTTTGAAGTGGAACCGCTTTTGGGCTCAGTGCAAGTCGGCAGTTCACCTGAGACCGAACATCAGCAAGGGACAGAAGTTCAATTAATTGTTAGCATCGCTAACCAGAAAAGCGGCGGCTGCTATTGAAGAACTTCTGTACTCAGCAGAGAGAAATAATGACAACGCAATCAAAATACTGCGAAAAACGTTCAGAAAGCACGAACATTCAATTGAGATACACATGAATCAGCTCTTAAGTTTCATTTCATTTCATTTATTTATACTGTTAGCCCAGAAGTGGGCCGTTACAGGGTGGAAGTACAAACAATTATTTGCAAAAAAGAAGTACCGTACAGGTCTCGAGATAATTTCTCGGTATTATTGTGACCAGCAACTCGAAGTTATACATAACATACATAAATGGAACACACATGCGATGCAATACATACGCGCAGAACAGCACATGACGCATTTGAGGCGGCACTTTTGCACCGCGCTGAAGATTTGAAAGACAACTACTGCAGAATCATGCAACCAACAAAAAGTACACACAAACGCAAAAAAAAAACATATGTCACTGTTATTCGGAAAATAAACGTTTTAGATTCTGTTCAAATGATGTAAGCGAGGAACAACCAATTATAGACTCTGGCAGCATATTCCAATCTTCAATAGCACGTGGAAAGTAACTGAACTTAAAGCAATCGGTACGTGAGACTAGGGGTGGTATATATATATTATGGCGATGTCTGGAGTGTTCTTGTGTGTTGACCTGGAAGTAATCTGAATAGTTTAGTTTAAAATGATTATGAATTAACTGGAGGAGGAATTTCAGACGCTCAATCCTCGTCCTAAGTTCAGGACTATCCAGTCCAGCTTTTTTACAGAGTTCAGGGAGCGTTTAGAGAAAGTAAGGTCTGCGTAAGATAACGACGACTCAAATATGCTAGTACAGATAGTGCAAGTTGTAATTTTGGCACTCAAGTCACTAAAATTGGAAACTGAGAGCTATGCGCCAATGTTGTTACTAGTATTAAAAAGACTAATTCTACCAAAATTATCGGTGCTGTTCAAGTGAAGACAGGCTATGAGAAACAGCTCAGACTCAGAACACGGCGAGCAAAACAACCCAACAGGAAAAGCGTGCGAGAAAAAGCTGAACAGACTTTTGCTATTTTTGAGAGAGCAAGCATCTTTTCGTGAACAAACGCAACGTGAACAAGAGTAGATAACTGCGAAACCAAAAGATAACGCCCGACAGATCGCACAACTTTAAGCTTCTATAGCTCAGCAGGACAAAATGTGCTTATTCTGCAAGCAGAAAACCCACGCAACCGAAGACTGTCGCCGAAGCATTTCAATAGATGAAAAGAAAGCTATGCTTACCAAAAATAGAGCATGCTTCAGATGAACACAACCAACCAACACTGCACGCATTTGCAAAGCCCAAGATAAATCCAAGCAATGCAAGGAACGACATGCCACATCAGTGAGTAGAGCTTAGATGCAGAAAACAAGGGAAGAGCTGGTCTCATAAGCGCAAATCGAAGCGACGACGTCTACACTTCACGCAACCGAAAATATCAAGCATACGTTAGTGCTTTTGCAGAAGGCTGTAACACGCGTAGAAAGAAAAACATTTGGACGACATTGCCGTTTGCTATTAGAAAGCGGCAGTCAACGTTCATTTATTACAGCTGGATAGCGAAAGAAATAGGTTCGAAAGTGTTGTGTTAGGAAATGCTGACGATTGGTCGATTTGGAGGATACGA